GATTGTTAAATGACAAACCATTATTGACGCTTTTTGCTTCTGCCGATTTGAATAGGACGTAGTTGTTTGCTGTCTTGGTGGATCAAGTTTAATATGATATTTGTTAGGAATGCATTGCTTGGGATTATTTAAACAGTCCTGTTCAGTTTTGGCGTACCAACGTTTAGTAAGCTAATATATTGAATTGATTGTCCGTGTTTGTAAAGGATAAATGTTAGTAACCTCAAAGTCAGTGGACGGTTTATTAGACGTTTTACTAAAAGTCCCCGTTTATTGAGCAAGATAATGTTCTTTTATAATATTCGCGACGAACCATGTATATATAATTGTGACTACATAATTACTAAATAATTATATAAACGCGTAAACATAAATACACTCTGTCTCAGTCCGAGACAAACTGAGTTCTGGACTGGATTCTCAGATACAGCATCTACAAAGTACTTAAGATTCTAGTGGTATCAATGTTACGATAAGTATAATAATTTTAATAAGATAATGCCGTCCTACGAACTCCTTGTTTCTCTGCATACTATAATTTCTTGGTAGCCTATCAGATCTAATCTTGCTTGTATCTGTTCCGTTTGCGACCTTTACCTTGTTTTTCAAATATGGCTAAAGACTCAAAGGAGCTAAAGTCACAATGATTGAAAGTTATCATAGTCATGTTAAACGTTCCTAGCGTCAAGAGAGGAGTTATATGTACTACCTTTCACTTACCTACCAATGTCCGCTGAGATATCGAAACTGCAAATAATTCTATTATCAGACTTACATGTGCAGGTAACCTTGTCTAACGCTTCCATATCTGTCTCCTTCCTATCCCTCACAATTCAAAATTGCCTGTTCGGCTTCGGTCAATGTCTACAATAAAGCCAAGCTTTGAGTTCCATTTACAGTGCACGAAAAAAGTTTTTGGAACATTGTGCAACGAGAAATGTACAGATATGCTTCATCGTATACAACCCACTGTCTTACTTATTGCTGCTTGCTCAACAGCTTATCTTAAACCATTCCCGTCTGTTATTTTTAAGCCTCTTAGTATCATATACTAGAAGGCAAAATAAAAATTAATTTATGTGAAGTGTAGGCATCTTGAGTACCATTTTGCATAACAAAGCAAAAATGTAAACAAATAAGACAAACGATGCAACTTACAAAGTTATGTGACCGAGTTTGTTAGATGCGTAAGAATAGAATGCACAAAACGTATTAGTTAACTTTTTTGAGTAGGCGGTTTCTTCGGAATACTCCAAGCGTAGACAGCAGCCAGTGAAGTAATACCAGACAATAAACAATAAAAAAAGCAAACACACTTAATAAAAGACATGTGTATACAGCAGTAAATATAAGGTTTAGCAGTGGCAGTAAGCAGATGCCCCCCTGATAAAGAGACCTGTAAGGGAATCACAAAAGTATACTTTTTAAGAACAAACGCGCTGATAATTTTATGTGGCAGGTTATTAAATTCGAAATCATATTAATAACTAAATTTTGATTTCCTTGAAAAAAGGGGTGAAATACCGCTTGTCCACTCACAAAGTTCGTATTTGCGACAAGAGTTTTTCCTCGACTTGCAGAAAGTCAAACCCTACTATCAAACTAACAGCAAGGAGATAAGTCCCGTGTAAAACAGTGGGAAAATAAATACTGCTTGTCTACAAAATCCGCATCGTATAACGACAACTTCCCTCGGTCACAACTGTTTGAGTTAATATTGTTGATTATTACTCACTCTACCCTTTTTATTACTTTTATAGGCGACGACAATAATGGGTGCATCGACATGGTCAGAAACGGACAAGACGGTTATATTGCTAAGTATTATTACCTGCAATATAAACCTGTTTACATTTATTAATGTAGGCTTCTGGAGCACTTGTTCTACTATCATCATATCGGCGGATATTCCACGAGCGATAATGGATACGTATATTTACGCATGCCTGCGCACGGGAATATTATTTACGCCATGCGGCAAGTTTACTTTACGCCATGCGGTGAGTTGTTTCCCATGCGGTGAGTTTTCTTTTGCCATGAACTACTAAGGAAAAAATATGGCAATTAAAGTTAGAGTAGTAATTATTATTATGGATGCAAATTGATGTTATCATCATTATTATAGCGTATTATTTGTAAAATGAACAATCACGAGACTAGCCCGAAAAGGTACTAATTGTTCACTTTAGTATTGTATGGAAGTCTGACCGCCCATTCGAATAACGTTGGTGTTTTTTTTAAGCTTATCTCTAAGAGAGAACGTTACATTATCCGATTGTACCTATTATTACTATTATGAAGGTAAAGTTGACAAATAGGGATTCCTCAATATGAAAGTCGAATGTGACTGAATGCTCATCACATAACGAGTGGACATGTACATACATGTACTCTAAAACTTTAAAACATGATTACCTAAATGTACAAGCAATAAAGAGACATAGCAATATGTATTGAAGGAAACCGTAGTTTATTATGCCATTTGCATTGTAAAGACCGTTTGTTTATTCATCCATAGTACCATTTAGTATCGTTGAAGTAATTCTGAGATTTATTCAAGTCAAAGAGTAGATATGATGTGCAAACATATTGTGAAACCATGCTACTCATTTGCAATAGGATAATGAGCGAAACGTTTATGTTAATCTCTCGCACTTGTTTGATAGCACAAGTAAAATGTAATTAACAACCTGAATTTCTACAAAGACTTTTATTTGTCAATGGAATCCCAAAATTTCCAACTCTATATATATTAATATACTAATGTCGGTTCTGTCTAATAATTTTTGATTACAACAAAATAATGCTAACAATAAATAGACGTTATTTGTGATAATTTATATAACATAAAAAGAGATTAATTCTATAAGGGTTTTTATATATTACAGTTTACTTTTGGCCTTTTATTCTTCTCATTCTTCATCGTACTGGTCATTCTTCATCTTAGATGGTTTCTGTACATTGTCAATTATTACAACTCTTTCGTCTTCCTTGTATCCAAAAGCATTTTTACCAACTTTTCTCAAGTACGATGTGTCTAGGAAATAATCTTGCAACAATTCTTCAAGTTCTTGTACACGATTTTCCAGGCGCATAGTCCGTTCTGATGAAGACAATGTCAAAGTTGACGATTGGACAGGACTGACCAGAGGGAGAGACTGAAGTTGATTAGAAATCTGTGTTCGTTTAATAAGCGTTCGGTGAAAAATACCCCTGTGGGATTGCAAAAATGTACGTGAGTAAGCGTAAAATAAAAAACGCGTAAAAAAATTGTTTGTCAATGCTTACCATGGTTTTAATCGAGATGCTCCAAAAAGAACTGTGTATAGACCAAATAATACGCCAAAAGCGCCACCAGTGAGACCCAAGGAAGACAATAAAGTTCTTGATCTATCAATAATGATAATTGAATTAAGTAATTGAATACAAAAATAAAAAAGTATATTATATACGGATAACCAATTATTAATTTAAAAATAAAAATAAAAATAAAAAATTTCTTTTCTTTTTTTTTTCTTACCTCTGTTGCTCTTTGACTTCCTGTTCAAAACTCTGAGGCTGTATGGAAAATACGCCCGTGTTTGTTGTAGGTGAGAACGCAGGACCAGGTTCAACGGGGAAATATTTTGAGTCAACGTCAAAGAAGAAGTAGTCGAAGTATATAGGATCCAGACCGAGCACTGATCGGAAGGTTTTATGGTTAATTGCACGAAATTTTGATTGGCGTAAAGAAACCTTTTTTAAACATTTGTAAAAACAATTCATTTAGTCATAAAACAAGAAAGAAAACAATAAACATGGAAGAGAAAGGTACGGGTATATTTAGCACAATTAGATAACAAATTACCTTTGTAACATAATTCTGTATTCCCGAAAATGAGTTTTTTTGACCTCGCAGTTCATTTTCGAATTCTACTGCTTTGGGAGTATTAGGTGGCGGTCTCCAAAGCGGATTAAAGTCTAAAATTAATTTTGTAATAGTAACAGAACAGAATTCAATATTCTAGTCAAGCTTGCTTTGTCAAGTTAATAACGCGTAGTTGACACTGTCTACTTTTTCAGTTCTATTACCTGGATGAAATGGTTGGATGCTAATCGCAGGGCTTGCCCAGCCTTGTCCAACAGAAGCCGTGAGATTTGCAATTTTAAATAGAAACTCGACCGCAATCACCCCATGTTCGGAACTTTGCGGAAAGTGTATAGTTTTGTTTGTGGTAAACAGATAACAAAATGTCCTGGTATTTGCCTTGTTTCCTGGTATGAGATAATTTATTCCTTCCGGAGTTGTGCAGTTGTCGTAGCTATTACGAAAAACAAAACAGGAATAATTACATAAACAATACCAGTAATAGTAATAAATGTTGGCCAAACAAAAATTTTACTTACTATTGGTTATTTTGAAATCCCGTCATGTAAAATATGCATTTTGTTATAATAACATCACTGTTGTCCGAGCATATTTCAATGTCTGTAAATAAAAAAATTTTATTATAAGTGAGTGGAGCCGATTGTCATGGTCGAGTTTTGCTGCATCGCGTTTAATTTTACCTGGTATTTCCATTTTTGTTAACGTCTCTTGCGTGAACCTGAGCACAGGTGCATCGTTCTTAATGGCTATCAGTAGGTAAACGATATATGATATAAATGTAATACTGATAAAGATTGCTATTGATACGCGCAGGAAGAGAAGCGGTGCTGGTTCGCTAAGCTATCAAACAAGTTAATAAATGTATCAGCCATTTAAATCTATAATTATACGAATCGGTAAATTTCATTACGATACTTACTGTCTTCTTGTTGGCATATCGAGAAAAACACTTCGTAAAGTCGATCATAATGTAAAACTGTAGTTTGGGTAACAATAGACATGAATAATGTCAGTTCTTGCGTAAAGACGATTAGTCGACACGAGTACTTGGTACAGTGCTGGCTACGGAATCGATCAAAGAGACAGTAATTTGTCTCTCTTGCATGTGTCTGTTTTGGGTAACTCTATCTAGACTTTCAAATATGCCACAAAGAAAGCATTTTATATAATTATTTTATTCTTTCATCTTCAATGTTCTTGATAACACAATAACACATAATAATGTTAACGCTATACGTTTTCACAAAGATTTAATTAAAATATGACTCTTGCTAATCAATATGGAATTGTAGTCGAAGAGAGAGAATGTAGGTATGATACCCGTGTCGTTCTTTGCCTAATTCCGTAAAAACAACGGCTGTTAAATGACATACCTTTATTAACGCTTTTTGCTTCTGCCGATTTGAATAGAACGTAGTTGTTTGCTGTCTTGGTGAATCAAGTTTAATATGACATTTGTTAGGAATGCGTTGCTTGGGACTATTTAAACATTCAGTTTGGGCGTACGTTTAGTAAGCTAATATATTGAATTGATTGTCCGTGTTACCCGGCTGCCATTCAAGACAAAATCGGAAACTCTTATTCAAAACATCTTCTATTTATACATTGATGTACAATGTTAGAACGAACAAATGTGTCTTGTAAATAAATTTGCAATGGGTTTACTATTAACGTATTTACAGGGCTCTGTAGTATCAGATATTTCATTTGTAAATCTCGGGAACGCAATCTAGATGTCCGGTATTTCGTCAGTTGGCGCTAGAAAATATCAGATATATCTAATACACTTTGGTTGTAGTCTTACACTACAAACAAATCTATTTAAAGTAATCCATATGCAATTAATATGGTTGAGCTGCTTGGAGATGAATGAAATGGTAGAACATTCTATGTACATAGCTATCTTAACGTTTACGATGGTCCCTTGTTCCTAGTTGCACGGATCTTCACTAATCAAGTGCAGATTTTTCGCATTGTTTAATAAATATTGTGCTTCCAGAACAGCAAGTAATTTGGCGATGGATAAATTTCAATGGCGAGTTTATTGCAACCATGTGAAAGATAAGTCGACTGTGTATGCCATTGACATAAATTTAAGCATTGTGCGATGCCTACGAATACGAAAAGAACATTGGTTCTAATGTTCATCTAAAGAGCTGGGGATCGAATGTTTGATGACAGCGTAAATGAACTATCTTGCAGAACAGAAATAGCATTACTATAAATAGCCCTGCATCCCAATAATATCCAATCTCTTTCTGTGTGCGTCAATCTTATCGCGAGCTTCTTCCTTCTTTCATAGTTTGAACAGGGCAGACTGTTATCTTGGCTGAACACAAAGTCATATGCCTGAACGGAAGTGACAAAAATAGTGAGGAACTTCATTCAGGGATGTCCCCATCGAATCACCGTCGACTAAGTCGATTTTGGCATCATTGCGAAATATCTTTAGCTGTTATAATAACGCAAGATCCTTAGTAGTTGTTGGGAGGCACAAACTCTTATTTTGTTGAAAGAAAGATACCCAAATTCAATTCAGTTAACGTTAAGATTTGGGATCGTAACTAAAAAAGGAAAGACTTACTGATTGCATTGTCGAAGACAAATATATCTCCGGGTTTCTTTCTGGCTAATTAGTAAACGCCAATTGTATATAACACATTACTAAAAATAATAACCAAATCGCTAAAATCAACAGCCAGCACTGCAGCCATACGATCAAAAAAATTAAACCTAATTTGTCACTAGATCATACGATTAAATAGTTTTGTGATTTGCAACATCAGTTCTCTAAAGCAAACAATGGCAATTAATGGATAATTTTAATTGGTTTAATTAAATTTTTATCACGTGATTCTCGATTACTGATAATTAAGTTATTATTATCTGGAGATACACTGAATTTATTAGTCTATAAAGTAGATTGTAGAATGTTCCAAAACAAACATGTGAGAGACTTGAGATAGAAATTGTGGGTAATTTATCAACAAATATTTGATGTTAACAAACAAAATACATTGTCAATAGGAGACAATATCCATCTCCGCTGATGAAGCTATTAAGATATCTTATGTTCAACTTTAGCCTTTTATCAAAGATTGGACAACATGCCCAATCTTCATGTTTTTTAAATCAGTATACGTTTGTCCAGTACCGACAAACAGTATTGGCTGTCCTGTTGTATAAGTCATTGATAATGCTGCACCAACCTATATCAAATATCATTAGCATCTCAATTATTTCACTGTGTAGACACGCGGTTACAAAAGGAAATCAGTTTACCTTATCATCGATTGTATCAAACTTGGTCAATATTATTCCATCGATTTGTCTTGGGCTTTGTAGTCCGGAAAAGTCTTTCAATGCTTGATTGAACTTTGTTAGTTGATCGACTGCTTCATTACCAACCAGCGCTTCGCCGACAAATATTATTTTATCCGGATCGTTTACTGTTACAAGCTAATCAATTAACAAAACATGGTTCAATTAACCACCGGGATTAGTTCGATTTCAAACATGGATATAAGCATATTTCAGTTATAATAAGCGGTTCGAACCTTTGCCAAAGCTCGCATCAAAGGTTCATTGTCTTGCATTCTTCCTGCTGTATCAATCAATACAACGTCGAACCTATTTGCTTTTGCTAATCAAATTAAATACTACTTTAGAATTCCGTAACAAGGCTTAAGCAAACCCTCCCCAATGTTATCTTGTTTCCACACCATATGAAATAGCATCCTTTGCGATGCCAGCGGCATCCTTGCCATAGCCTCTCTCATATAGCTCCACTCCCTTCCCTTGTCCCAACATATTAAGGTTCCGCACATGTACTCTCAACTGTTCAACTGCACCCGACCTAAAGGTATCACATGCAGCAATAAGAACGCGCAAATTGTTCTGCAAAAGCCAGAAACAGGTCTTGGACAAGTTTGTCGATTTGCCTAGTGGAGATGATGAAATGTGACCGTGTGACAAGTCAATACATGAAATAATCAAATATTTTTGAAACAACGAACAGCATTTCACGAGATGAGTTAATCACCAACTCCATTGACGCCGATAAAGCAGATACTATATGGACGGGATTCTGATTGTGCTTGCGCTATGTCACGTAACAGGTCGACTGATGTCTTCGGTGTTAGAATTTTTGTCAAAGAGGCTTCCATCGAAAGCTTCACCGCCGAGTGCACACCTGGGTATAGAAATACGATTGCTAGTAAATGTCGAACAATACCCACCACTTTTAAAATTAGGATGCGGGTAATGTCAATGGCCCCGCGTATTACTACATACTTCTAAAGCTGCCCAACTTTTGTCCGACCAGATTCTTGGTAATGGAATCACACAGATGGGAAGCAATATCAGCGGCAACGTTCTTTTTAATCAAATGTTCTCTCATATTAGCCATGACCGGCGCCAAGTCTCGTTCAGTTAATTCTTTCTGGCCCGTGATATTCTTGAAGAATGAAAATATTCCACCATTCTTATTCTGCACACCAACTTCGTCGTCCTCGTCCTCTTCATCTTCCTCATCATCATCATCATCATCATCCTCTTCCTCCCCACCATCATCATCTCCAAGATCTTGTACTTCGTAACGACCATCTTGGAAATGCCGTCCGAGTTTGCTTTCGTCAACAAAGTTTCGAATTACTTCTGCCGAATCAAGTTCCGAATTCTTCGAGTTGCTATAATCCAGACTCGCGGCTTCTTCCTTGCTCACTTTGTCATCCCATTTTCGCATTACTTTCTTTCGCGTCTGGCTTTGATCTCTTATATACGTAATACGATAAGTTTATCAGTCTCGGGTAAAGCGAGGATTTAAAAATATATAACGTGCACGCGCATGGAAACGCAATATTTACTCTGAAGTGACTTCTGTAGGTTGTTGTTTGTTGTTGCCTTTTTTCTTCTTTCCTGTTGTTCGAGCTTTCCCACCGCGGGCAAGACTATTTTTGTTTGCAGTGAAAGCGCCTTGATTCTCAGAAACTGCTTCCTGCGGATTACGGAGATCACTTACGTCTATACATCGAAGCCCAAGAAGTAAGTAAGTGAATAGTAGGGGTACATATAACTTTCGACTATAACATGCTTACCGTTACCCGTCTTTGCGGCATCCAACGTTGCTTTGTACTTTTTCGTTTGATCGAATTTCCGAGGCGCTTGTCTTCTCTCCTAAAAAGTGTATGAGTAAGCATAAAATTTCCTTTTTTTTGCGAGAAGACGTATAATCCAGATCATTTACCTGTTCCCCTTTTCTTTCTAGTCGGGCGCGAATTATATCAAAATCGTTGTCGAATTCAAAGTCATGGATTTTCGAAGTGTCTCTGATAAGAGCTGCGAACTTGTCACAAAAGTACTTTTTAACCGTTGACAATAGTTCGTCTATATAAGCCAGTTGGAGAATTTTCTGGTACGCTACCTGTAGGTAAAGATCGACAAGTGAGAGAGAATTCCCTTGTTTGATGTGACTAACGGGCGTCAGCGTTGTCATACTCACCACAAAGATCAACTCGAGTTCGTTTGCAAAAGTCCATTTTAAACAGTACGAATCTTTTACATATTCGCTCTTGCCAGCACGTTCTTCTATCAAAACTTCTTTAATCAATGGATCCACAGGGGAGGTTTGCACTCTTGCGAACGTTCTTGACCAAAGGACTATACCTCCTTTGGTCAAGATGGTGAAAAAGTCCAACATTTTTGTAATGGAAGTAAGCGCGCAAGGAAGGTTATGGAGAATCTTGGTCAAAGTAAAATAGACCTTACGATGTAGGCATCGGGATCAGTTGCGCATTTGTATTAAAACTGCAAATAAATTTGGGTTTTTTATTTTAAACTGGTATATTCACGTGATTTAACCTCCGACCTTTTTTATACAAGCAAGACGATGACATGTAAAATACGTGTATGCTATGCAAATTGATAATTACTTTTTAAAAATACAGTATGAGAGCTATTAACATCAAGATGTAAACGTGTTTTCTTTGTACAAGGGATGAGAAAAAGCTATTATAGTATTACGATGATTTTGTTATCCGAGACGATGCATTACTCCAAGATTATTGGAGCAATGAGGGCAAGTATGTTGTGCATCTTTTGGTTAAATGAACGACAGAAGAAAACGTTACAATTTATAATTACTCGTAAAGTAAGCCATCGTTTACACAGTTACTTACCTTTTGTTGCTTTGAGATAAAATGGTACCCAAAATAATATGACTGTTGTTAGCAATAGTGCTGTTGCCAGTAAATATGTGCATGTCCCGTTACGATATCTCACATTTGTGGTTACGAATTGACTGCAGTGTGGGCACTGCACTCTAACGGGAAAGTCAGGATACCTGAGTAATGGCAAGCTTTGGCGTCTCTCTGCCGTCCTAGGTAGCCCTGATGTAGACTTCTCTTTGCCAGTATGTATGTAGGTATAGACTACTGATGTTTGCGATAATGACGAGGTCATTATGTGACTGGTATTATATTATCTATTTGTTATCTTTGGGAATTAAATACACGTACGATTTTCGTACTAAGAGAATACTTGTTAAAATATTTTTCTTTTCGACCAAACTGTGTTTATATGTGAAATAGTAGAATACATTGTATTGTTATTATTTTTTTTTCTTTCTATCGTACATTCCGTTACTACATTCCTCATTCCTAAAGCGTGTGATCTACGATGATATCATGGAAAGGGTGAGCTATCAAATAAGGAAAGAAGAGTAACATAAATCCTGATCATCAGGTTTTGTTGTACGAATTTTAATTAATTGTCTCCTGAATTCTCTCTCAAAGTTCGTCGCTACAACTATCTTACTGGCATGTCTTACTAACCAATTCTGAGCGATATTAACAAATACTCCTGCCTTCAAAGTATTACGAGTCTTACACTCGATAACGTGCAGCGTATTAGTATTACATTGTACGTTCAGGAAAAGAGTGGTCGATATAACGATTGCTGGCGTATCCTTCACGTGACCTCTTGTTACGCCATTTCAAACGTTTCTATATTGTTGTTTTTCTCCTCCCGATTGTCATCTTCTCTCGTGTATTATTCCGATAAACGTATAGACATCTATTGTCTGAAGCATGTTACAGAAGCTTCTGAGACTGATTGAAAGAACAGTTTGAAAAAGAGAGCAAAGCATCAGTTCGAGCTTTGTTCGACTTTAGTTACTGGAATGCCACTCATTCAGCAAGGCCTGAAACGAATAGTAGTAATGCTACTATATGGTAAATGTGCGAAATTTATATAAGGTGGACAGGGGTAATTGGCAAAGTTAAAAGTTCCTACTGAGTGAAAATTTTATCAACCCGTTTGATATTCAGAGTCAATAAACTAGAATATATTTATAATAGATGCATGCAAACAGGAAAGGATTGCAAAATCAAAAATCGCCGTTCCGTAAATAGTCCTTAAAATCGAGATTTTAAAGCAATTTGGCGAATTCTGAGTTTAATAGTAAGGACATTTATTTAATACTTCATTTGATCTTTCGCGTCCGATTTGGAGATTTTTTCGAACTATTAAATTTTAAAACTGTAATATTTTGAACGTTCGAACTTAATTAAAATTACATCGGGCCAGCTAACCTTTTTTATAAAAATTTCTAATTAGCGCAATTAATGATCATGAAATATTTTCTAAGATCGAAAGGAATGCAAATTTCATAGAATGGACTTGGAGTTGACAATATGTAGTACAAAACGGTGTCAAAATTATCCCCTCCACCTTACGTTCATATGGCCTTAACGGCTTGTTTGCCTCTTGACAGTGAAATCAATATTCTAAATTATAGCGAGATGGGTATACTAATACTTGTTCTTAACATGAACAGAGCCCATCACAAGATTAATCTGCCCATTCCTTTGGTGACTAATATCAGACGGTATTTCTTCTATTAAGTAGCAATAAAAACATTAGCAAAGCCTGCTAATCGGCATAAAAGAAAATTTTCGAGTGGATATGTTTAAAACAGATCTACCAGCAAACAACACGTGGATATCCAGTGATTCAGACATTGCAGAAATATAAAACTATTATCACCACATTGTCATTTGCACGATAGATTGCCAAGTATTTTGAGCGACTACTGGCAATATACTCTACTTTGAACGCTTGCTGTAATATAGTCGATACATGGTTTCCTTTGTATAATCAATTTAACCGCGATTCTCTGTGAATACGGTTCGGTCGAGATAAAAACCTCGTCTATTAGGAGGACATCGACTCCGTCTTCGGAAATCTAATACAATATAATACATCTTTAACACGTTGATCGAAATGACTTTACAATCATCGAACACTTTATCTTAATTGTCTAGATAGAGATCGCCACGCTATCATCTATCAATAACAAAGCGACGGTTGCGTCATTCTATTTGATGATCGGTAAATGCAACAATACAAGATGACATGTAGATAACAAAATCATATTATTGTATTAGACAGATAGAAATCGGAGATATACCTAGCGTCGCTGACGAGAATCTTCATTGAATTGTCGTTCGTTCACGTGTGCAAACTACAGCTCGCCGTATCCATCAACAAACAGCACGCAATGATGTTTATAAGAATAAAATTCGCTGTTAAATCAAATTTCTATATGATTCACGTAAAATGCTACCGACCCCCGATTAAAAGTTCAGCTTTCCATTGTAAAATTTCTTCAAAGCGTCGATAGGAGTTGGTAATGAAAGTGTAACGCTTTCATCCTGCTGCGTATATGTACAAACTGTCATACTGATATGCCAGACAGTATTTCCTGTCAAAGCTGTTAAGGAAGCCTGAAAATGTTTACGTCATTAGAGGTTTCGCGAATAATCCAGTGACTAGTCTTCGTAATACTTGTGGTAAATATGGCATCGTCTAGAATGTAGAGCAAGCACTCCGGGACTATAATATTGATTTTTTGTATTTGTTATACAGTCAACTCTCTTTATAACGACCATTTTTATAGTGACCGATGCCTTTCATAGTCAGGATATAACTGCTGTGCCCCGTTCTGGGATTTGACCCAGAATAATCTCTTGCACCAATAAACTACATGATTTATGTGATAACAATATGTGACAATCTTGAAATGGGTTGACCTGTTCTCAGAACGGGTCAAACCCCAGAATGGGTCCTAACATAACGATGGTTAATTAAATCCAAAATAAAAATTTCCATATCAATTATATTGTAAATCTCTTTTTTATAGCAATTGGTAGTACAGTTGATATTAATTTATATGTATAGGTACTTAATTTCTCCGCTTCTGGCCAGGCATTAGAAATCGAGTGGCACTGAGAATCCATTATCTTTTATGATCATTCATTCTATTTTCTATACATTCTCTATCAATTGTTATTTTTGGAAGTGAATCCCAATGATTTATTCAGAATTCGATACTACATTAAGAGAGTCTCTTTTGACAAAAAAACAAATAAGAATTTTCATGATATACATAAGGAGAAAAAGAGTGGGGAGGTGGTTTATAAGAAATATCACTATCTATATCATTATGAGCATCCTGAAGAATAGTATTATAATATAGAGGAGTGTTAGTTAGCTTGAATGCTCATGTAGAAGCAATTAACGTGGAGATTCTACAGTGATTAAAGCCAATTCTTGTAAGAGCTCTGTACACTCATCATCTATTATTCTTTGCTCAGAAGGGACTAATAGAGCTGCAAAAAATTTCCCTTTTCTAATAAAGGGGAAGAGGAAAAGTTACATGCTAAGCATTTGAACAAATAATAAAAGAATGTTATTGCTAGCATAATAGTGATATTCTATTGAATATTTAACTCCTGCTGTCTATAACAACCAGAGAGACTTGCCATGGGGCTGTATCAACTTTGTCATCATTGACATTCAGTTGCGATTAATATGACGTATTATAGTCTTTATATGACTATATGCGGCATATAACGACCGATGTTTGCTAATTGTCCGAGATGGTCGTTATAAAGAGAGTTGACTGTATATTGTCCAACAGAAAGTTTGAATGCCCAATAGTACACTTGATGATAAGTGGGTCTATCAGCTTCTCCTCAGAAAACCTTTTATGAAATTCTTCCACCCTGCGAAGATTATCATGTCCACCACGACCGTTATCATTTCTGCCACGACCGTTGCCATATCCACGGCGAGGGTTGCCATGTTGGCATTTGCGAACAAAGATTCGTATTGTTGCGCCATTGTGATAGAATTGTAGTTGGCAGAGGGAATCGTTCAATAACTGGTCATACTTCCCGTATGTCATCAGCGCATAATTCCAGACGGAACTCGTTTGTTGCTCTTGAGGCAGTCTAGTTTCGCAGTGAGTTGGTTGCTGATGAGGTACGTAAGTCTGACTTGTCCATACAAGGGAATCGTTCAATGACTGGGTCATACTTCCCGTCCGTATATCGTCAGCGTTTAATTCCAGACGGAACTTGTGCGATTCTCTGGAACTGGTACATCCGTAAGGTTGATCAGCCTTTGTGTTTATGTAAAGTTTGTTCAGTTCCCAATAGTACTTTATAAAGATAAGAGAAGCGTTTTTTATGATGCAGATAAATCTGTCATCTTCAAACAGAGTATATTAACCAATAATATTTCTTGTACTACTAAATTAAGACATATTTTCCGGGATATAAACTCCGATAACTGTGCTGCCAGCCTTTCAATAGTAATAGTTAGAAGAGCTTTGAGATTATAGACGCCTAATTTCTTCATCTTAAACCATATTATCTTTCACTAATACTTCCACATACATATTTGGTCCCCACTTCATTACTACACCTCTGTATTACATTTTAAAACTAGCTTTAGCGGGTATCCGTAGCTTGGTAATAAAGTCGTACAATATCGTAATAGGAAAGGCCAAGAGGATTTTAATACCAAAGAAGCGGTAAGTCACTAAGTCCATTACAATTATCGTTATTTGTACATTTTAAGAAACCGTCTGACAAATCTATTAGTTATGAAAATATTTAGAGATATTGTCAAGGACGAGCGAAACGCCAAATTCCTATACAAAACATTATGCCATGTTTTCTTTAAGCAAACGCCGCGTTAAATTTTGTTTGACACTCTAGAGACAACCAACAAATAATTCTTCGACAGCCGAACGGAAAATGCCAGAAAATGAATGTAGATGGAGTGATGCTTGCAATGAGCACAGAAACGAATACATGGTCCCATCTAGTGTTTCGGAGACGCGATATACCATGCGGTCAAGACAGAAGCACAAGAAATGATATTGCCTTGCAAGAGTTGCCACCTGATTGAAACAGGACTCTTCTTAATCTACAGTGCTCACCATAAATAACGTGAATCAAATGCTATACAAACCATACATTATGGATGGGCGCTTACCATGAGATTTTAACTTACATTTTTTTGAAAATGCATCTATGGTTATGCCAAAACGTTGGCAAGTTTTGATTTTGGCAGAACTGCAAGTAGTATGGAAGACAGTCAATCGGACATTGTTTGGGGTTTTCAACAGGACAATGACCCAAAGCATAAGGCTAAAAAAACGTCTGAGCTTCTTTATTGTCAAATTTCTGAAGATTCTTGACTGGCCCTCCATAGCCCTGACCTGAATCCAATAGAGAACTGTGGGCTATTATTAATTATGAAAAATAGTGTTGAGAAACGAGTTAATAAATGATTTAAATTAAGAAAAACAAATTAAAATGATTAGTGTTAGATGTTGGCATGATTTGCTTAGTATTAGCAGAAGAACAGGAGGTGTCTCCACAGATCTGTAGTAAATGGGATGTCAGGATGCCTGAATAAAGTTATTGAAAATGATGGAGAAAAAAATAAACCATTAGTACTTTTTTTTGTGTATAAACATTATATCTATGCATTTGTGGTCAAAAAACCAATTCTTATTATTTATGACAAACACTAATGTCTTGTATTAGTATTAGTATGATTATGAGATTGATAAAATTTCCAAAATTTATGGGCTAGAAGAAATCAGAAGAATTATTACAGGCTAACTTGGTAATTGATTAATGCACAAAACTGGAGTGGTCTAGAATACTGAAACTCGAAGATAAAGCTGTGTTGGCAAAATTTTTTAACACCACATTACTGTACTGCAGTACCAGCTCAGATGCTCTGATCTGAACATTTCCACATGATCCAACCAATTTTTTTTGCCATGGCTAGGTTACTGAAATCTAGGGGGAATATGTCACAAAAATTTATTGCTACTATTACAACAATCTCATTCCAATTGGAAATATATGAACAGAAGGTAAATAAATGTTCTGTTATAAAAAAAAGCTAATTTTATTAAAAATTTTATAAAAGAAAAAGGGAAATTAATTGATAGACTTAACTTTAATTAATAATAACATGTATAGACATACTAATATTGGTGATCTCAGAAAAAGAAAACAAGGTCAAAGGCTAAACTTTTATACACATATTTATTATATCTTGGATAAACATTATGCAAAATTTCAAGCCAATCCAGCTGTTAAATTGTTGGGCTGTCAATTAATTGGTAATTCTCATTACTTTTGTACTGCACTGTATAACTAAAAATTCACTAAAGGCCATTAAATATAAATATAAAGGGAAAATTGAAAAGAAGTGGAAAAAGGAATCAACAAGAAAGGAATAATAATAAAAAAATAAATAATAAATAAATAAATAAGGATAATTGATTTATTTTACCACTAAATCCAATTCAGTTATCATAGCAAGTATAGTAATTGCTAGGCTATATTGCATAATTTTCTATTTAGTAATTTTACAAATTAAAAAGTATTTTTCGATTAATTTATGCACAAGAACATATTAATGCATACATATTTATTGCATACTAACACCGAACAAAAAAAACCCAGATATTTTTATTTTGTCATTGCTCCTCAATGAGTTAACCAATTTTCATAATAATGAGTCATTTGAAAGATAAAACAACTAAATTTATTTGATAATAATCAATACTGTAATAAGGAATCCGTTCTCCATTCTTCTCAATAATAAGCTCACAACGTCGTCTCATTGATCCCACCAAACTAAATGCTTTCCGGAATTCTATTCCACTCCTCCACCATAAACACTCTAGTTTATTGGCATTCACCTCTCAACATTATTCTTAACGATTCCCCAAAGGTTTTCTATCGGGTTTAAATCAGGACTATTCGATGGCCAGTCCATAATCACCGGGATATATTTTTTCAGAAACTCCGTAGCAAGACGACTCGTGTGTTTTGGATCGTTGTCTTGCTGGAGTCTCCACCTACCTCCAAGCATCCTATTTACTTCTGGAATGTGTTTCTGGAGGATTTCTACATAAATTTGGCATCCATTATCCTTCGAAAACAAAATAAGCTTGTTTTACCGACTGCGCAAAATCCACCCTATGCAAAGATTTTGGTGCAATCTTTGGGCATGGCCGTTCACCTTTGTACCAACGTTCCGGTAAAGTTGGAATGGAAAATAATGTCTTCCTCCAATTGTCATTAAGGTGTTGACGTACCCACGTCTTTGCTTATGGGCTTCGGTTAACATAGGAGTTGGTTTAGGCAATGCTTTCGAGTACCCATGAGTCTGATCTGACGATGAAGAATTTGAAGCCTAGGATTGTCAGGGCCATGAAATATGTTTACGTTCAATATCGACGTGGATAGTTCAGTATAAAGAGAAGAGAGTGAGTAGGCGGTTGGATTAATGGTAGGCAGTTGAATAATGGTCAGGTGCCTCGAAATTGTCATGTGCGACACGTCTAACACCCGTATTTGACACTTTTCGAGCTAAAGTCCATGTGGATATCGAGTCATTTCTCCGTATTAATTGTCCGATTATCTTGAAGGTTATCGCGCGTAATCCACTGTTCCTTTTGTTTTAATTTTCTTTATACTATCATAAATGGTGGAAAGGGGGATGTTTGTTTGGCGATGAATTTCTTGATCATTGCGATGCCCTTGTTCCACAAATGCAATATACATTGACGTTGTGTTTCTTGCTTTGAAGTGGGCAAAAATTGCGTTAAGAATCAGGATTGTCAATGATTTTTGATGAAATTTTATTGGTCGATTAAAAAAATATCGCTGGGCTAATTTTATTTTGAAGTATCTGTCAAAAAGGCGATTCAGCATTTCCCAGCATAGCTTGAGGGTTCCGATTTTCCTTCCATAGCTTCTCAAATGGCAGCAGATAATCAGATACATATATATTCGGGATCGTGGTCGAATTTATACAAGCAGTAACGACACATCACTATCGGTATGCGACAACTTGAAGTTGGTTAAGCGTTCTGGATGTGCTGTAGATTCATATATTTATATCATGCTTGGGATGATTTCTGCACAACGCCTTACAAACCAAGTTTAAATGTTTATTCACTTCTGGAATCGCTACTCTGTCTGACACTAATGTAGCTGGAGACAGTATCTTGTAAAAAAAAAAAGGAGTGTTTACGTTCTTTGTAATGTAATTTTCACTTAAAGACTATGAGTGCAGAAAAAGCGTTAGTAGCTAAGTTGCGAATTACCTCGCCGTTTTCCGAATTACTTTCATAGTTTGCAGAATGGAAGGTGCGGTTTCGAAATTTGTTAGCCTTGTTTTAAAGTCAGATGATAGACGAACACTATGTTGTGTTACATTTCATCGATCAGTGGATATGGGATTACGCGTCTGACTGAGCGGGTTGAGCAAATGTTCTTTCCGCATAGAACGAAAGACATTTGTTGGTTTTCGACGGTATAATTCGGGAATTAGAAGAGCGACCATCTCGATATACCAATGTTTCAGAAAAGGACATCTAAAAATTGTACCAAAAAAAACAAACAAGCGGATACTCTTCCGCCCCAAATTAATCTTTCCTCTTCTAATCGAGAAGCCAGTCGAAGGCCTTTCGTAGTTAGAGTTAGGCTGATGATAGAAACTAACCAATATGCTAGGATTAAGACCCATCTCTCGAGATGTGTTGTACGTTAGAAGGTTTTGTTTTTTGATCGGAAATGGCTATGAATTCGACCCAGTACATTTTTATATGAAAAACTGATTTACGGAGACACGGATCTGGTTGAAGAGAATATGATATCACGGGTTAGAAAATCATGTGCCAATGATCATTCGTGAAACCCATTTAGTATTACAGTCGAACCTCGTTATACCGAAGTGTCGGGGGAGGCATCGTATAACGAGATATTCGGTATAGTGAGGTACCTCTATATAACGAAGTTAGGCCTAAGGTCAAGCAATATTCGGTATAATGAGACTTATGTGAATAATATCTTCATTTACGTCTCAGAATTAATCGTATGATCGAAAATTGCATGATGGAACAATATGTGCGAGTATCATAAACATGATGACTGAATTTAAAAAACAACAGATACGAAATCATACGATCAAAAATATTGACAGCTAAAATCATATTAATATGCAGATAACTACTGATATAATCATGTGACCAAAAATCGATGACCAAAATCATATGATCCTCATCTGCTACAACCAATCAGTATTTTACCTTTTTATCACGTGACAAAACTTCGGTATAAAGCGATTAGTAGCATATTACGGTATAACAAGATTTTACTATTAAATTCGTTATAACGAGGGAATTTTATTATTTAAAAAACGGGGGAGCCAGTATAACGAGGTTCGACTGTATTTAGCTCTGGTAGTCCTCAAGATATTCCCAAAGTCGTGTTGTGTTGATGGTGTTAAGAATGCATCGAGTCATTAATAGTTATTTGCACAAAGGTGTGTTTATTGGACCGAGGATGACCCTCTTGCAATTCTGACACTCCGTTGAACATGCAGAAGGAGATAGAGATAAGGCAGAAGCGCAATGCAAAGATTGCTCCAGCTAATTCGTTATTTTCCTGAGACATGCCTCTCACAAATGAGTAGATTTCGATTTCATAGATGCAAGCTTTTTATTGCGCCTCATATATTCGCGTCTTCAGATCCTCAACCGCATATCGTAATTTCTCATTTGCACTAACTCGCTCTTTGTAATCCATATCAATGTTTGGCATGAATCGGCCCTAGGTATTTCTATTATATTCGAGTAATTTCTGTTGCAAGAGATTAAGCTCATTCTTCAATCACGAGAGAGAGATTAATCGCCGGGTTAATGCAATAACTTCTTCCCATATCTGAAACATATACTCATGGTATTTCTTCTAAATGATAATGATGTCGAGCACTATGGCCAACTTTGAGTTCGTCGCATTAGTTTTTCTGGTATCTATTAACCTCATGATGTAGGATGAAGCCGTTTGATTCACTGGGTCTGTTAGAAAATCGATACTGTTTGTCGAATTTCTTTCACATACCTGTTAATTGATGTGAACTACTATCGCGAGGGACTTTTAATTGATGTGAACTACACATTGCATTTAGCAAACAGCATTGTCAAATGCTGTGGAGTGTACGGTTGACCTAATTTGGCCAACTGTGGGAATGTTTGAGGGCGATGATCCTATTCAAATATAACCAACAATGGTAAATGAGAAAGTTTATATTTAGTCACCCAAATCGGTATTAGTATGTTTGCGCAGCAAATACCGAAATTGTAAAGCAAAGTGCTACAACAGTGCAAAGGGCACGATAACATGTGCTCAACCGAAGCGGTAATAGATTCCGGGAGACTAAACTGATAGTCAATTTAGTTTAAAATTTATTTTAATGGCTTCGTATTCCGATTAGTGCGCTCCCCTATGATTGTCTTGTTCTATGACACTGGGAAATTCAAACCGGTTGAAGAGCGCGATTGACATTAGTCACTTGAAATGTCAGCCGTTTCTTATCAAAAAGATATTCCATTGACTAAGCTTTTATTAAAATTCCGAAAATTAAGTAGAATAAATATAATACAAGATGCGTTTCCCCATGGTTGGTAAAGATTGCAAATTCATTTTCCATACCACTCTCAAACAACAAGATTGAAAGAAGTTTTGTATACTTTGTTCGTTTTCTTGTTACGGGCAGAAGCTTTAACTTCCATGTTACCAAACCTGAGCGAGAATTCCACTGGTCTATTCAATCCATTTTCGGTATCTTCCGCCGTTACCTCCAATTCACCCAAAAGTTTCATTCCTGGTTCATCCGGATACTTTGCATCTTTTTTATCGGTGTAAAAAATTCGGAAAACCAGTTTGGTCTGATCGGTTTTAACGGGATAATACGTTCTCGGAAACGGCTTGTTTATCTTTACTAGTGTATCACGTTCAACGATTTTGTCAAACTTATAAATACGATTATCGTCCCTCCTTTTGTCTCTTGGATCTTTTTTGGGATCAAATATAGGCTTGATTTCGATTCCAAATGTCCATTTTAGCATACGCCCGTTGATGTAATCCACATTCAACCCATACCATACAGCTCCTCGAACAACAGCTGCAATGGGTGAACGCGGCACAGCTATGGTCGGAACCCGCGCATCGAACGTTTGTTTTACTCTATTCACCAAATATTTGGATTCGCTAAATCCTCCAACAAGAAACATTGCGGAACATCTTGTATTAAGAGACCTCAATTGATGTTCGATAAGTCCGATTATGCGATCAATGACCGGATCGAACATTTTCTTCACCGATTCAAAGTCGATCTCTATCAGCCAATCATCCTGCTCTGCTCGCCTTCTAGCTTCACCTGTAACATAATCTTTCAGTACCGCGCATTCCCGCTCTATATCCAATTCTACTAGGCGAAAATCTTCTTGTTTACCACTGAATGGAAATTTAATGCGCGGACAGAAAACCCTATGTACAAGGTACTGCATCTGTCTGTAGTGCTTTGTTTTCAATTTTTCGATTGAATCGTGTCCGAGAACATCTCCCAGGAAGTTGAGAAATTCCCTGTCAACAAATGTGCTGCCGCATAAATCTCCTGTGCGTACGGTAGCTTCGTCAAGTTTATTGTCACTGAGTAGCTTTCGTGCTGTTAGATCTACCGTACCGCCACCGCAGTCAACCACAAGATAAGTTTCTACAAAAAATTGCCCATAAGGGATTAGAAGGGGTTTCCATCCATATATTTGAAAAAGTCATTGATCTACATACCTCCCGGTTGTATCTTGTACTGCTTTTGTATTTCGATGCAGTACAATGCTGCTGCCTCGGCTAATAAATGTAGTAATTGTGTTATATTGGAATATCAATATATAAACGGTTTAATGATAAAGAGTCTTGTAAGTGGTTCTTACGTTCGGTTGTGAAATCCAATTGATCTGTATGTCTATCTGCAATAAGCCCAGCCATATATGCACATTCTCGTAGAATTCCTGGCGTGCCCGGACCCCATTCAGCGGGCAACGACATAATTAATCGCACCTGCTCAGGAAATTGGACGTCGGGCCATCTCCGTATAAGCGTTTCTTTAATTAACTAATTACAGTAAAAAAGTTCAGCCTTGATGAAATCTTTTATTTATGAAAATATCATTAAAAATTGCTCTTCTTACTTTTCGTAGTTCACGTAAATAGTCTGTTATCACCATCCTATAAGTCATTCCGTCGGGAAGAGCTGGTTTATCCTCTTCTTTCAATACGGAAAGATGCAACTTAAACAGTTCAATCGGATCTGATTGAGCTGTTGGTCTCTTCTCTTTCGATCGTTTATCTTTCTTTCTTCTCGGTTCCGGCTCTTTCATCAGAGCTGGTTCGCCCCATTCAAATACTTGTTGTTCGTCGTCGTACTGAAGAACAGTATGTGTCTTAAATCCATATTGACTTCCAGGCCTTATTACATAAGATGTTAGAGTGAATAAAAATTAAGCGCGTAGGAGTAAAACTCGATTAAGCAATATTACCAAGCATCATTTGTAACGACTTTGGAGAGGTCTTTTTCGGTAATATGCGCATACGCGAATCCGCTGGGGGGGAAAAGACGATGAATATATGCGTTTACAATCCAACACATTAAGTGGAAAAAGTTGGTTTTTTTTTATAATAAATATACTTACCTGAACGTTGTCCCAAAATCTATGAAACGTTTGAATATTACCTTATGAGTAATGGTCAATTGACACTTTAAAAATTGTGAAATATTCCATCCTTACCAATAGCAACCACTACAACGATGTTATCACGTTCTTCAGTTTTTTTTATAGGCACATTACGGTAAGACGGTTTATACTGTGGCTTGTGTTGTTCTGCCATTACGGAAGTGTTTGCAAGTCGTTTCTTGTTGAGAGAATTCTTCTACCGCCGCCTTCGGTTGATTTTTATATAAACTGATCTGTACGAAACGGTATTTTCAATACCTAATCGGTATGTGTGGCGGATAAGGCAAGGAATGACAACAAAATGAAAGACAATCTATCTGTATCTGAAATCTTAGTCTTCTTGACGTTAAGATCCAACAATTTTACGAAGGAACGTAAAATTGTTAAGATAAGTAAGAGATATGGAAAAGACGACACGAAAAAAACGATCCAATAAAGGATTGGAAGATGAATTAGAGCTTTCCCACTACGTGGGGTCCATATACTTTTGGGACGTTTTCATATATATATTCATCTGTCTATGGGACAAAGAAAGGTACTCACTAGATTATGAAAACAGAGATCTGGCTTTTAAGCTTAAAAGTGCCTTGAAAAAGTTACATCAATATCGCGGAACACCAGATAACGCGTTTCACCGGGCAGACATATTGCTCGATAATTTCATGCGATCACGGCGGTCTAAGGAGCACGATGATTGTGATCGTTATGTTCGCACTGCCTATTCACGTATGGGATATAAGAAGATTACCCTCCCGAAACGCTTCGAGGCTACTATTACAAATATGTCGTCCGATCATCGTGGTTCGCTCATGGAAGTCTGTATACAACAGCTTCGTAGTCGCGCATCCACAGCTAAACTCGTGTATACAACGATGATTGATTCAGCGAGCGGCATGAACCTTGAAGATGCAGACGAGGATTTAGACACTATGGAAGCGGATAATCTGGACTCGCTCAAATACCAAGCGAGTTTAAGTAGCTTAACTAATTTTAGGTGGACAGATGATGATGATAATAATGCTGTCCATTTGACGGAAGATATCAACAACTTTCGTTTATTTCTGGAAGATTTCACAAGAGTTAAAGGTCGAGATATTATGTTCTACGAACAAGAGGCCAGAAAACTTTTGGAGGAATATAAATGCGAAGAAGGAGAGAACTTGAAGTCAACTTTATCCTCGGTTTTAACGCGTCGCGTACTGGAGTTAGTACTGAATTCTATAGATGAATATTTTAGTCAAGCCGAATTTGAAACGGCGATTGATGTTGATATGGCTGCTCCTGATATCGACATGGGTTCATCCGATAAGGCTGCAGACACTCGGACCAATTCTAATTCCGAAAACCTAGAGGCGGAGATAGTCGGAGCTACGAACCAACTTACGGGAATGCTGGATCGTTTTGTTGATATTCGTGATGGCAACGATGCACTAAGTCAGGTTGTGTCAGCCCAAGTTCGCCAACGAGTCCATGCAATTTTAGGTATTCGACTATTCAACGTTATTTTTAATCTCATTGTTTAAAAAAACAAACCTTTTTTCTCTAACTTGTTTTCGAACCTTGCTTAGGATTCCGTGGTTTTTCAAACGAGAACCATAGAGTAATCACATCGATAACTGAAAAAGTTAATGATCTGATGAATAAGTACCGGTCAATTACCGATGACGCCAAGTTGGAACAGTCGGAAAAAGATGCAGTACGGGTCGTGCGGGATATCATCCGCATATTTAGATTCCGACTACAAGCCCAAGAACCGGTTCCCGCAGTTAAGTTTATTGATGCGGGAGAGAAATTCGATGGCGGGTTAATGGAAAGTTCAGCCGATGAGAAATGTAGAAATGCGCGGGTGGAACTATGCTGGTTCCCCGTAATATCAACCGATATGGATAGCAAAAAGCGGAAGACGTATAGTAAAGCGAGGGTATTGTTAAAATATAGCTCAGAGAAGGAAGAAGAAGAGTATTCTCACAGCGAAAGGTCAGAGTCGGAATCAGAGTCAGAATCGAAGTCGTCGTCGGGAGAATCGGCTGATATTGATGCTGCTGTAGATTCTAGTAAAGTTGATAATAAAACAGGAGCGGGAATTGATAGTGATATTGACGATACTATTGATGTCGATGATGTTAATATCAGTAAATACGATGATGCTAATACCAGGAAATACGATGATGATAATCCCAGTAAATACGATGATGTTAATATCAGTAAATACGACGATGGTTCCTCCGGAGATGAATTAAATACTGAAGCGCAAAACGTGATAGTTGATAATAGTACTGGTAACGCCAACGAATAGTTATGTCGGTTAGCGATTATCATTATCATGACAAATGAGCAAATCCGTTTCCTTTTCTTATCTTTTTTTTCCTGTACATGTATGAATTTTATGAATTTTATTTTATATATACTTCTTTTAACCTTAAATTGAATAACCAAATAAAAGGAACTATTTTCAAATCTCTACGTACTAACTCTACGTACTAATACTTGGCGTCTCCGCCTACTCTAGATATATTATAGTTCATTCCGCTTATCACGCCTCTCTCTCGACAACCTCCCGATAATCATCCCAATCTTTTTGTCTAGTAACAGCATGTAACTTGTCCATCATCTCGTCGCTCACAAATTGTAATTGTCTTATGTATTTCTTTTGATGAATCTTGTGTAATCTCCTCTCTTTTCCGACATGGAAGGCCTCTTCGTCCTCTGGGGCGTTAACTGATTCTTGTTCGATCGTCCTAGCAAGATTATTTTTTAGAATACTTGCCTCGACACCAGTTAAGCTTCTTTCTATTTCACGCTCATGAATAGGGGCGAATCCAGGATAAAAGTGGAGAGTAAACCGAAGCCGACCACAGACCTGACTACTTGTATCGTCAGTCACCGTGTCGTGTATGTGGCCTGGCATCATGTTAAATAAGGGAATATCCACTTCACGATTGACGCAGTTTTGCAGATTGCGTAGAGGATATTCACCCTTGCTTATTGGAGTCATCATACCGAACAGACCTCGTCTGATTAGGCGGAACGTGATAAATGTTCGGTTGCGCTGGAATACGGCGAACTGCGTTTCTTCGTCCCACGAAGCGGAGGTGCCTTTGGTAATGGCTGTCCTGCGTTCTTCCATACGCGGCTGGTCGATATCATAAGCCAGGCATATGCGCGAATCTAAGACCAGAAGGGCGATCGGTTAGACAATGGAACGATTAAAACGAGTCCCGGTCAACAAAGGTATATACATACTGAGTATCTTGTCATCCAAGTCATGAGCTGAAATAGACTTCACTGATAACGTTCCCACATTGAATCCTTTCTCTTCAGGTGCTAGTCTTATGCTGATTGGTTTAAAGAGAAAACTGAGTTGTACTTTACCACACCCAATTCCGGATCGTAAAGGGTACCATTTAGTAAGTTCCATCTGCCACATCGGAAATTAAATGAAATTAGGCGACATGAAGCAAACATGTCTACAAAATCTACGACGGAAACGAAAAATTGGCTGATCAGATTCCTATGCCACAAGTTTCCCGTGGTGGGGCTCATACCTTTGGTCTGCCTTCGAAGAGGTCTTTTAACCGAATGGTTACAATGCCAATGACGGGATCATACTCCAAGTCTTTTTGATTTTTGATAACTATGCGAACAGTGGCTGATTTCCAATCAGGGACAAACTGCTCAGTGGTGGCATTCCAATATGGAGCGATACTAAAGAAGATCTATGGCTTTAGATAACAATGTCTAGAGAATATTACCACACGGTCAGTGTCGTCTATTGACTTACTTTTGTAATTTGGATCTTGTCTTGAATACTGAGCAAGGAATGAACAAACAAAATGTTAGCATACAGTTGATATGCAACATAATGTAAGATCCAATATAAATATTTACCTTTCTTATCGTTAACATATACAACAGCATATGGATTGGGATAGGGAGACGCAGCCGTATTTCCTATCGAACTTAGGTCTGATACGTCTTGATTATATGGTGGTGCTGTCACCTGCAAGCCCATGCCCTGGTGTATTAGTATTCCAAATATACCGGAAGTCTGCTCATCATCCGGCTGGCTCTTCAGTTTGGGATAATATCGAATATTGTATTTCAGTCGCCCTCGGTTTTTCCTATCGTTAGGTTGCAGATATATATCTGTCCATCTATATCATACAGGAAAAATTTTGTTTGTGCCGTTCAGAATATATTATGATCTTGTAAAACATAATTAATTACCCAAAATGCGCTTACCCTTCATGTATCGCCTTCTCATCTTCGCCGTTTCCAACTACTTCTTTTAAATCATGCCATACAGAGCCGATATGATCATCCGCACTAAATCTATCCCAATCCCATACACTGAGTTTGAGTTTTATGTGCTCAGATAGAAGGTCGAGTTGAGGTATTTTGAGAAAGTGAGTCTCCCTCCATTTCGGATGGGCCGCATTCTCAATGAAACGCGTGGTTGCAACTGCATGGGAATATGGCGCTGGATCCAAAGATATAGTAACATATGGATCATTCTCTCCTACAAAGTTGTATCGGATGTAAGTGTCGCGTCAAATTTGAAAGTTTCTTGTACAGTAAATGCGCATTTGCAGATAGAACTAATATGATATTTACCACTTATATCTTCTTTAGCCAGATCAACTGCTTCCTCAACATCTATTCTCACGATCCCAATCGATTGTGTATCTATTGAAAAATGCAAAAGATCCGTCAGCTAAAATTTAGACTTCAAATAATGACTACTATTCCTTGTATACCATGCGGGACACCATCGTTGGTGAGTATTTCGGTTAAATTGACAAATGAGGCATTCGGATATGTAAATTGACTCAATACGGCGTTCAGACTGTCCTTTATAAATTGTTTGAGTATCGGAAACTATATAAATAGAACAGTATTAAATTAGTTTAAATTCATAATATATTCCTGTAAATTGATTACATATATACCTGAGTAAGATTAATAGGCACTAATGCATTGATACTAGTTTCACATACTGGAGTAGTAATAAAACTAAATCTTCCAGAGTGAAGGAAAGGAGCAGTTCCAGTCGTGACAATCTCAAATCTTACACTGGCGGCTAAGCCCAAGAACTCTACTTTAATCGGTATCATCATGTTTATTCCAGTTTTAATCCATATTGAAATGTGAGGTGGAGAGGTACCATCGGTGGCTGTTGATTGTGACGTCCGAAACGAGAAACTGGCTTCTCCAATCTTGATATAAAAATAATAATATCGAGTTAAGAAGTAGACAAAAGACATTAATACAGAGATTCAAATCAACGTCGATTCCTTACCAATACGTCTTCTGCTTCATATTCTTCAGTACCAAAGATTTTAATGCTACAAATAATATATTAGAAAGTGCACCAAAAGGCTTTAACGACAGCTAATTGTACATTTGCGTCTGTACCTATCTATCCGCGGCGCAATCTGGCCAAGTTCAAGACAATCAACATCAGCTGCTGCCTGTATACAAGTCGTTAATACATCACTACCAAAAGATCATAACACATATTCGATGAAACGTTTGATACATACCACAAATGCAGGGGCACTGCGATTCATTGTGTCTTCGATCATATCTCTCACACCAATTAAGAGTTTAGGGTCCAAGCTCTTCCATATCTGCTGTATTAACTGATTCAACCTTATCCAACAAAGTATGTGCAATAAAGCAAATATTAGACTACATTTGAAATAAAATGATACAATCATTACGCATCACATTTACCAGTCGACAGTCTCTCCTTTGTTAAAGCGTAGCTATTAGGTATAAATCTAGTATTAGTTGTAATCATTCTTTTTTAGTCAAGTCATGAATTCCGTCGTTCTTACCCTTTCACGTGCGACTGAGTCATGTTGAATCTCCCATATCGTATTCTCGCGTATTACATCCAGTCGATTATGGTGGTATCCATAGGCTTGATAAAGTACAAATGCTAGCGCGATCACTCCAAGTCCGAACGTCCCGATTATATAAGAGCTAATCCCGACAATCAAAATCAAAGTATTGGTCTCGAAACGATATGCCTCCTTCTCGCCACGTCTCACTTCTGAATCAATCTTCTGCGGAATAATAATCGTGGGACGACGAAGGGGCCCATTTGGATCGCGCGTAGGCCTAGGCCCGAATGTACTATTGACAACTACCCGAGGATGAGGACTATCAAGACTAGAACGAGGACTCTCAGTAAAGACTCCGCCATGTGGATAAGCTTCACTTGACGATGCTGACGATGCAGACGAATTATCAATTATGTCTTGTTTTTCTCTGTGTGACGGTGCCACGTTGCCATAACCTCCAAAAGAGACTTTGGAAAAGTGTGGGGAAGTATGCGGGGATACTGGTGTTGGAGGTGGTGTGGGTATCGCTGTGGAAATAGATTTGGGCTTAAATTTTTTCATATTGCCAGTATCATATTCCTCCTCTTCTTCCGTGAGAATTTCAATAGCATTTGACACATCACCCTTATATGCGTCGTCGATATGTTGTAGATGGGAAGGAATATCCAATGTGGCTGCGTAACCACTATCTCTTTTTTGTTGCAGTGTTGATGGCATCTCCATGGCTTTCGATGACTCACTTCAAACAAGTTGGGTGTAGTCTTTTTTTGTAGGTTTTATATAGTTGGATGGATCGGCATTCTCGCTTCAAAGGGCTGAATTTAATGTCTGACAGGCATTCATTCCGTTTAAAGACAACTCAATCACAAGCTGCATATCGAAAATCATGGGCTTTTTTATAATGAGGGGTTGCTAGCGTGTGAGCTAAAACCTTCACTGACATTCCTGATAAAATAATAAGGATCAGAGACAGCTTTTATGTGCTTGTCATAGTAATAGTAGCATTGATATTCGACGGTTTTAGTTTTCAATTTTCCGCAGAATGCATTTTAAAACCAAGAGAAATTCGCAAATATTCTGATTGGCCATCGCAGATGATGGCGTTGCCCAGAGATCGAGGAGTCCCAATTATTATTATGCAGATTTAATTACTAATGGATTGTTTACATCTAATGCATTAGTTTAGACTTTGATGACGTGCATATTTAATGTCAGCCACACTATTAGATGTTGCACGACATGACTTTAAACAAAGACAGTTCTGAGATAGTATTAGTTGATAATCATTTATAATAATAATCTAATTCAAAATTTAAATTGCAAACGAACGTTCATATTTCTCACTAATACTAACGTCCATAGTAATATAGCACATAGGGGAAAGCGGGCATCTATTTGTTATGTCCCTTGCATTGTTCTCAATTCATCAGCCGGTCATGTACCTATTGTTGGAATATAATTGAATCGGGAATAATTCCCACTGTATTATTAAATAGCATTGTACAGTCAATGCATGAACTTACCGTAATTTTACGCAGTGTGTTACACATAATTAGCAATAACACAGTGGATATTCTACAAGACCAGTATTAGTGTAAGCACTTAGACAATATTAATATATAGTCCTCATATATCAGCTTGCTATTAAATGCGCCCCTTCAATGTCTCTTAGTCTACACAGATAAATTATCCAATCTTTATTCTTTAATGATGTCGTGCCTTCCTTCTCCCTCAGTTAACATGGTTTACCAGCCCACGTACATTGACACTCTTACTGATAATGTTTGTAGATTGCACACGCTTGGCCGGATGGATTCTGTCAATCCTGTAATGCAAGCTTGTCTTAACTTGCTCGCAGGAAAGATATACAGTAAAACCTCCATAAATGCAACCTCCATAAATGCAACCTCCATAAGTGCAATCCCTCTCTAAATGCAACATTTTGCTCGGTCCCAAGCTTGGGACT